TAACATATCTCTAAGCTTCAAGGGTGAAATAAATGTACAATAACTGATATGTACTTGCAATGAGAAAATAACTGGTTGAAAAAAAGTATCAAATTTAGTGGCAAATTGGTCTGTTTTCTCCAGAGATAACTCAGTTTTACATAGCCAGTGAGAATGTTATTATTTGGAACTTTTAAATATATCATTAAATGCAGAAATATTAAAAACCATGCTTCTACCCAAAAGAAACCTGTACATTTACAAGGAATTCAAATTCAACTGCTGCTTGTTGAACTTGATTATGTTTTCCATTTTGACTGGACTACTTCAGACTTTCACAGTATTTTTATTTTTGTGATGGTTTTTCCCCATGTATGAAGTCCTTTTCAGCATTTGGATTTTATATCAAATTCTTTTGGTTGGTTTGAAAGATGAAAAATATGTTTGAGTATGTGTCACAGTTATTGTAAGGGCTAATTGCTTAGTAAAGGATAATGTGACATCAGCTCCAGTGAAGTAGTTTTCCAAGTGCATAAGTGTTTAGTGACTCACTAGTCTTGGTAAACTTTTAAAGGTTATTTTACAGTTAGTAGAACACATTTTGATTCCAGAAAATATTTAGTTCCTTTTTTAAAAAATATTGAAACATTTGAAATTGCATGTGAAGTAGCTTTGTAGAACAAGCCAATTTCAGGCAATCAGACTATTTTCTGCAAAAAATCTGATTTGATTGTATGAAATTGTAGCAAGGCTTTTATTTGACCACTATCTGGAAAAGGGCTTGCATTTTTGTATTGTTTCTTAAATGTTTTTGACATAAAATTTAATTATGTCACTGAAATATACATATTAACACACACAATCCTGTTAAGAAAAGCACCACTGTGGTTGCAGCAAAATTTGCATTGGTTATATGTGTAATCATATTAGCACTTGAAGAACAACCTTTGGGGCACCTGAAAGTGAAAAGTGTCTATATCTTGTCTGCTTTTTGAGGACTAAAATGGCTTCAGACATTTTCTGCAGTACATATATTTTATTATAGTATTTTTACAGACAGGACTTTGGTAGGACTCAAGTGAGTTAATCCTCTTCTCTGAATGCATAAAATATAATTGTCATAAGACATCAGCCATCATATTTTTCTCTATTTATAAAATTTTTTAGATCTCTACAGTCTATAAATGCATCTAGTAGTTATAGTGCCATAATACATATTTATAGCCTTGTAACTACAGTCTATTAATACACCTTGTAGTTCTAGTGCCATTATATGTATTTATAGTCTTGTAATTCATTTTTCCAACTTTGATTTTGCATAATTTGATTTTTCTATTATTTAAATAAAAAGGAAAATGCCCCTTTTGCTTCTGCAGTTCTCCATACAGCTCCCCTTATCCCTTTGTTCTCCTTCAAACTTCCTCCCTTTCTCTCACACTTCTTCCAAAGCTGCACAGCTTTTAACATTCGTCTTTTCTTTAACAAACAAAAACTTGGAAGACATATCATGATCCCTATTTAAAATGCAATGGTTAAGGGTTAGAGACTTGAACAGAATAATATTGGAAGCCAGAGCAGCAATGCATAATATGTGGTAAATCTTTATTACATCCTTTGGTGTTCATTGTAATAATGATCACAGTGAATTGTTCTGATTTTACTGTAACTGTAATAACTCTGTTGCTATTTAACATTATTTGATGTCCACTTATTAGAAAGTGGTGTGGGTCCTGAAATAGGAAAGTATCCCAACTCAGGACAGGCACTTACGCACATGCTTAAATGCCATTAGAATCAATGGGATTTAAGTACATGCTTAAAATAATAATGTAATCTTTGAACAGGGTTATGTTAATGCAAAATAGGAGCCTTTTAGTTCATGCCTGCAGTGGCCACAGTACTTAAACAACTTAATTTGTATATTACAAATATCGTACATTTCACAGTATAGCCAATACAATTGTGCAATTACACAACATTACAACTTGTCAAAGCTGCAAGATAAAACAATATTACACAGGGATAAAATCATAGGATGAGAGTACCAATTTAAAAAACTCACATGGTACACCGACATCTTGAATACTGCGTGTAGATGTGGTTGCCCCATCTCAAAAAGATCTATTGGAATTGGAAAAGGGCAACAAAAATTATTAGGGGTATCAAACAGCTTCCATATGAGGAGAGATTAATAAGACTGGGACTTTTCAGCTTGGAAAAGAGATGACTGGGGGTGATATGATTGAGAGCTATAAAATCATGACTGGTGTGGAGAAAGTAAATAAGGAAGTGTTATTTACTCCTTCTCAAAGCACAAGAACTAGGGGGTCACCAAATGAAATTAATAGGCAGCAGGTTTAAAACAAACAAAAGGAAGTATTTCTTCACATAACACAGTCAACCTGTGGAACTCTTTGCCAGAGGATGTTGTGAAGGCCAGGATTATAACAGTGTTCAAAAAAGAACTAGATAAATTCATGGGGGATAGGTCCATCAATGGCTATTGGCTAGGATGGGGAGGGATGGTTTCCCTAGCCTCTGTTTGCCAGAAGCTGGGAATGGGCGACACAGAATGGATCACTTGATGATTACCTGTTCTGTTCATTCCCTCTGGAGTACCTGGCATTGGCCACTGTCGGAAGACAGAATACTGGGCTAGATGGACCTTTGGTCTGACCCAGTATGGCCACTCTTATGTAAATTGGCAAAGAAGGGAATGAGAAAGGTTGTCCCTTAGAAAATACAATCTTAATTTCTCAATTACTGAGGGACAGTCTTTGCTCATTGCTATATTTGCTTTCCACAACCAAATCTCTGTATAATTTTTCATGAGTGATATACCTGAATATTTGGATACTAATATCTAAACTATATATTTTAGATTTATTAATCTAAATTCGGGTTATTGCTGATTATGTATTGTATGACTTCTAAATGAACCGTTGTACTTTTGGATAATCTAAGCACCAGATGTACAGACACTCTTTCTTTAATCTGTGTATTATATAATTTTAACAGTGGCTTTAATAGAATTCCCCTTTAATAGAATTGGATGCAACACTTCTTGAGTTAGGAACTTGTCATCTATAATTTTTAGAAATCCCAAGGATGTTTTAGTATAGGCAGCATGAGATCTCCATGGTGATCCAGTTTTTTCCCCCTACATGTTAAAGATACGTGCTTAAGGAACCCGTCATCCTTCTTCTCTAGTGTGATTTTGGTGGTCTGTAGCAGGCCCCAATTGGTAACAACTCATCTTGTGTGTTATCTATTAGGACAATGATCCATAAGCATTCAGGAAAATTTTGTTTCAGAGTTGTCAGTGACTCAAACAGGTAATGCCATTTTTGACATAGAGTGCCAGTGCCTCTCCCTCTCCCTGGTTTCTGCTCTCTCTGATTCCTTTGTTACCACTTCCTTTTCTTTCCTTGAATCTGGGATGGTGATGCTTCCTGAATCTGGCTGTCAAAGCGCTCTTCAGCTTTGATCATGCTCTGCAGAGTCAGTATTTGTTCTTCCCAACCACAAATCTTGTCTTCCAGCACAGCCACCAACTTGCACTTCATACAGAGTGTCACAGTTAAAAGCTAACTGCACCTCTGTTCCCTTCCTGGTTTCTCTGAATATAACCCTTTATGTGTCAGGGCTCGGGCCTTTACCTATCCTGGGATGGAATTCCACTATTCTCCCACTCTTAGACTGTGTCCTGGACTATGGTACCCTATGTATAAATCATGCTTACCCAGTTCTCCATTACAGAGTCTGTGACCAATAGTATATAGCATCTGTCATGATCAAATGACCTTATTAAAACCCAAGTATTGTTTATTTTAACAGTAGGGAAAAAGCATTTAGAGAAAGGGATTTTGAAACCATCTACAGATGTCTGTCTTACCTTAAAGGCTTGCCATCCCTTTAAGGTAACCTAGCAGGCCCAGTTTCTTCAGACACCACAGCAGGTGCCTATTTCTCATCCTGGTTTCCCCAAACAACTCCCCTCCCTCCCTCCCTCCCTCCCTCCCTCCTCTCTCTCTCTCTCTCTCTCTCTCTCTAGTCCC